AAGGTGCTAATAGGTTTAATTAAATTTCATAAATATTACATAAGATAAAAAAAAAATGTTAAAAGAAATTGAATGTCGTTATGACATTTTAATTATGCGTTGTATTTTCAGGAGGGAAGTTGCCCATGACATGGTATCCTCAAGACTATGTAGACAAAGTGGTAATGAGTGATATGAATATGCACCCTGATCCGAAAAGACACTATCCTGGCCGAACTCACAGATTTTACAATGGCCCAATTGTATTCCCATTTGGATATGGGCTAACTTTCACTAACTTCAAACGCACTATAGCCCACGGCCCAACAAAAATTTCCATCCCTATAATAACAAGTAAGAAAGCTATAAACAAAACCGCCCTATCAAGTAAAGCTATTAGGGTTTCTAGGATAAAATGTGACGCTTTATCTTTAGAATTGGAAGTTGACGTAGAGAATCAAGGGCAAATGAATGGGCATGACACGATAATGATCTTTGCCTCTACAAATGGGATTGTGAAAAATCTAGTAGCATTTGAGAAAGTTCAAGTGCTTAAAGGAAGAACAAGGCGCGTTAGACTCAAAATTGATGCATGCAAGCATTTGAGTGTCGTGGATCGATTTGGAATCCGAAGAATCCCATTGGTCGAACACATTCTTTACATTGGTGAGAAGATTAAACACGTCATTACGATCCAAAATGCGGTTGAGGTGGTCAAGCCATAATAAACATATAAAGCTCGGCACAATAAATATTATTTTGTATGAGTTTGTGCCTACGGATGAAAATGGTGGTTGGATCATAGACCTGATGGTCTTTCAAGCTAAGGGACGTGCAGTTTACTGGTTGCATGCATCATAATATTGAGGATAAAACCAGTTTTTTGGTCCTTTATCTTATATGACTTCCATTAATTTTGGATTTAGTCAAATTGTCCATTTTTTATCCATTATCTGGAATTTTTTTTTTAGAATTTTGGTCCTCTTACCAACTTCAACTGGATATTTCACCGGGATGTTGACGGGACATATTAAAAAATTACCAGTTTCGTCACTTATCTGATACTCACTTGAAATTTAATCATTTGTCTAAAAGAAAGTTTGTCTTACTACAACTACCAATAATTAATGCGAATGTACATTTCAAATACCGTCAAATTCATTTATTACATTGAAAACAACATAATTGTTTATATAACAGAATTCATAAATAGATAAAATTTAAAACTCTTAAAATCAAGAGGTATGATGGTTGTGTAAACATTGTTACTAGATGCTCAAATCCTATTAGAACTTCAATAAATAACTTGTGTCACTCATGTCGCTTGTTGAAATACTATCATGAATTCTAGGTTGCGTTCAACTGTTTTTTCATTATTATTTTGATTATTGAAAGTCTATAGAGAAAAAAAAAAAGAGAAAATTATTTGTTTCAAAATTATACTTCAACTTATATTTCATTATATTGGATAAAGACATATGTCTATGATGATGTCACAATTATACACATGATCACTCAAGCTATTACATGAAATAAGACTTGGGAACATGCTTTTGGACTATTCGATCTATTCTTAAAAAATAAATAAGTGAGCAAAGAAAATTGTTGCATAAACGTGTCTTTATATTTTGGTTATTTTTATGTTATCGGTTTATTTTTTGCATCTTATTTTTAACATTATCAAAGTACAAATGATAACAAAACCTATTTTTTCGACATCATAAAAGAGCTATGTCGAAGAAATTCCTTTGATCTCCATCGAGAGATTGACAGAGTGATTTCCTNGCAAAACAACACCTCAGAAGTCACAACCTGTATATAAAAGGCCTGGTTGAAAAGTCACAAGTCTACAAGTCCAATGTCTGATATACATCAAGTCAAACGAAAACAAAACCAAAAACAAGAAAAGATACAAGAAAAAACTGACAACAGCAGCGAGTAACACAAAAATATCAGATCCTGGTCCGAGAAGAGTCCAGGCGAAAGTTAACATCACGGGAGAGCAGATGCGCCAAAAGGTAGGACCAACTACACAAATTTGAATGAAGGTATCTCATCTGGTCCATCCGTATAAGGGTACGGAGGCAGAGAGGAATATCGCCAGGATAAAGAATGCGCCTCTGGACCCGATGCCAGCGAGTAAGTCAGCAGGCTGGTTCCCCTCGTGGAAGATGTGCGAGATCCAAAAATGAATCGACCGAAGTGTGGCTCTAATACACATGAGAGAATGTTGAATCTGCCATGTGCGCTGATGGCCAGAGAACAGGGGACCCGATGATAGTAAGTAAATTGCTGAATTCCAACCTAATTGATAGAAATAAGAGGCTTATAATACTGTCTTGCCAATCATTAGATCTTTAGACATACAAACTTTTGCCTTCTATATGTTTTATGCATTCTTTTATATTGCCAATTTTGTCATTGTCTTTATATTTTTTTTATAGCTATTAATTTGATATATCATAAATGAATGAATTTTTCTATATAGACAATCAAAGTTTGTCTAGGGCCATCCGACTACTTTTCCAGGGACATCCGGCTACTTTTCCAGGGAAATCCGACTTATATCCACATAATATGATGAAAAAGGCTTAAATAACACAAGAAACACTAGGAGACCTCGGGTCGACAATGACATGGTCCGGTAGGGCCGATATGGCACGTACGGACCTTAAGTCACCGAACTCACTACTCAAACTTATGCATATGACTAAGGCCGAATACTTATCAACATAAAACATGATATATGAGGTTGAAAAGATAGCATATGCTTGCATGCAACATTACTTGACCTCGGGGGTGATAATCGGCCTACCTTGGGTTCTAAGGCACCGAAACTTCTATCTCTTCTTGACTTGGGACCTATGGCCGAATGTTCTACATAATTTATCATGATTTTAGGCTTAAAAACATGGGTAATAACTTGGGTAAAACAAGACTTGGTTCGGGGGTCAAAATGGCTCAAAAATCAGTTTCTACTTGATTTATAATGATTTTAGGAGTACTAACTTCAGCCATATCATGCATGGAACTCAAGATAATATTTTAAGGCTTAAAGAAGCTTAAATTCGAAAAACCTTTAATGACTCATGCATGGTTCGACTTCTACACTTGATAAATCCTAAAATATCAAGTATAAACTGAAAAAGAAGGTTTGGAGGTGGTTACCTTCACCAAAGTTCGAAAATGGACAAAGAGGGTGGCTCTCGGCCTCTTTTCGGCGGTTGCTCGGCCAACGGAGGGGCTATGGTGAACCAACCGTGGAATGGCTGAATGGGGGAGTCTCGGGGGTTGTAATAAGCTCTTAGATGGATTATGGCTTGGTGGAAATTGAACGAAATGACTGGTGGCTCGCTAGAGGCTCAGTTCGCGCGTCTAGGGCCACTAGGGGGTTGGCCGGAGCTTTGGTCGGAATTTGCTGAGTTATTGGAGAGAAAATGGAGTATTCTTCTGGTGTTCTAAGTGTGGGAATGAAATATGACTGATGGAGTGTGGTATAGGGTAGTCTTGGTCTCCACACAAGTGGGGGACATGCATTGGAGACATAAAAAGGACATGTCCCCTTGTCCCTTGCTTGGTTCTTGTGTTGGACCCCTAGGAAGGCCAAATGGTCTCATTGACCAGACTTAAGTTGGCCAAAACTCGGGTCAAATGGTCAGTGGACCAAGGATTGGGCCAAAAATTGCATTGGGCCTCGAAATGGCTTGGAGCGAAAATCTAAGACTTCTAAGGCTTAAATGGTGCACCCAACACTTAGAAACATAGACCAATGTTTGGCTATGACTTGGGCATGGCTCGGCTCGCACGAGGGCTCGGCACGGGCAGACCCGCGGACCCTCGGGCGCGTGCGTCTCGGGTAAATGCTAGGGCCGAAGAACTATGGTTCTAGGGCTAGCCTTGGCACCTCTCAATACTTAAAAAATTTTCTAAGTGTTACACTACCAAGGCTCGGTTAGGGCTAGGGCTCGGGAACTATGATTCGGGGCGTTACAGTTCACCTCAAACTAAGACTGAACTTGATCATCTCAACTTAAGAAAAATACTAAGGCATGAGGAGAACTTAAGCCACACTTGGTCACGGCCTTAGGCTTGACCGAGACTCGGCACTACTAGGCCTCGAGACTTGGCTAGGCGCAGAACTAGGCGCGAGGCTCGTGACCGAACATACTCGGTTCCGTCATGGCTTGACTTAGACGATTCATCGAAATATTGTTCGTCAACTTGGACTAATAAATCCCAATCGCTGGTGTCCATTTCTAAATAAACAGACTGGAATTAATTAGTGAAACTAGCTCGATTACGGACTAGACTTGATCGAGATTACGTTTGACTTGAAGTCGAACTTTGAATTGGAATACTTGAGAATAAACGGGCACTTAAGCATATAAATTCTCATAGTTAAAATAACTCAGGAATCTGAACATATCGATCTCATTCTATAGTCGAGCGAGTGGAATCGTTCTAATATTATAACTGATCGGGATGTTACAGTTCCCAAAATAGCCAAAAAAAAAAAATATATAAAAAAGTGAAGGATTACTTTTTCTAACTTTTAAACTAAATTTGCAGCACTATCAATACTAAATTTACAACTTTCTCATAAAATTAATAATGACAATCATGATGATAATAATGATGATAAAAATTATGTAGTACATCACAGATAACATAAATTAATATTTTAGTATCCCAATGGTTGTACAAAATACGAGCCTTACTTATATATTAGTAGGCCGTTTTATATATTAAAAATATGAAAATGTATATAATGTTATCGTTATTGAATAGTTTATAATCCCTACATGGGATCGTCTATGGTCAGATACCCCTCGTACCTACCTAACATCAGATATCCCCTTATATGACCATTAGATTGATTAAAAAATCAATATCAACCATTAGATCAAGGTACGAGGTTGGTACAAGACAACGAAAATTCTTTTTGCCTCGTACCAAGCTCGTACCAATCTCGTACCCACTTCTATATGTAAAAAACCTATAATACCCTTATGTCATTAAAAATAAAAAAAAAATATAAAATTATAATTGTATTTATTTCTAAGCCCTTACATGTATGTATTATTTATATAACAATCCTTCATATACAAATAATATATAATCACAACCTTAACATTTATCAAAATAATTTTCCAACACAGTTGTTCTTCGACCTTTTTTTTTTCTCCTCGTCTCCCTCCTCTGTTCGTCGTTGAATCGAAGAACATTACCAATCTACATATCTATATGTTCAAACGATTCGCGATGGTCAATCTGACAATATCCATATATGATTGCAAATCAGACATTACCGATTCATTTGTTTGCCGAGATACTTTGAATCCAGGTACATTTCGAATGCCGATTGTGTCTCCGTGATTTGTTACTCGAAATTTAAAGACAATCGACAATGTTTGTATAGATATCTGAAATTAAATTCATGGTTCTGAAATGTATTGTCTGATGTTGTTATTCAATTCAAGATTGTTGACCTTGATCTCGTTTTTTGATACTAAATGTAGGTTAAATGGTTTAGGCTGCAAATATTTGTATTCTTGTAATCGATTCTTTTGAATAATGACCTGATGTGATGAGGTGAATTTGTTAAACGAGAATACATTGTACTTTTGGTGAATCCTTAATAAGAACATTACATGTTTGATGAAACGATTCAATAATGTCTTTGAGTGTGTTATTTCGATGTTAATGTCCAGTAGATGTATCTGTAATTTAGGCAAGGAAAACGAAAAAGAAGAAAGACATAAACCATGGATGTTTTTCAATTGCCTAAGACAAAACGGAGTCACTTTAATTACATTACCCAAGGATCGAAAGGTGAAAACAATGTATCGAAAACATATTCTGTTTGGTGTTATGACGTTTCTCGTAATTGAGCGCATGGACCATGAGTGGTAGATCTATCTTGCCTTTCGACGAATCCATGCCACCTTTGTGGATGGCATAAATATTTGGTTGAATCTGAAGGAATCAAACCTTCGCTTCTGTTTGAAAACATGGCAGATGTACAATCTACTGAAAGAACGATATCGAACAATGAAGTGGCTGTT